GTGTATGATACAAATAATGTATGAGATCATAAAATACTTAACAGTACTATACCAAACTTGATATTATATGTATTACAATAAAATGATGAATAAAAAAATATATTGCCAATAAAACTGAAGGTATTTCTAAAAATTAAAATCATTTTGTATCTTAGAAATCCGGACTTTAACACTCAATTATTCATTATCATTTCCATATGCTTTTATATGTGTGCACCTAGGTGCCTAGGCTCTAGAGCCGAAGTGTATAATTGGTGAGCATTCCCCTTTTATTTACCCTTTAAATAAGGAGGATATAGCTAATTACAGACCAATAGCCTTAATACCTGTATTTTCTAAAGTAGTAGAAAAAGTAATTTATGAATCAATTAACTAATAAGTTCCTATCCAAACATGACATTTTGTGCAAAGAACAAAAAGGTTTTAGAAAGAACAAATGTATAAATACAGCAATTTATGATTTGTTAAATACGGTTATGGAAAACTTAGACAAAAGAATACCTATTTGTGCAATTTTAACAGATATGACGAAATGTGATTGTGTTAATCATGAGATACTATTAAACAAACTTAGCGTCTATGGGATAAGAGGAAATGTGCTCAGCCTCCTAAAATCATACCTCAAAAATCGTAAGCAACACACGGAAATAAGTAGAATATGTCTAAAGACTAGGACCGAAAGTAAATACCTATCAGAAAGCAGAATTATACAATATGGTGTACCTCAGGGCAGTGTTCTTGGACCGCTTCTCTTTCTGATTTACATCAACGATCTACCACGACATGTCGAGAACCCTATGGTCCTATTTGCAGATGATAGCACTGCCATAGTAAAATGTAAAAATTTGGATGAGTATGAAAGGGATATAAATGATACTCTTAAAGACATAATTGATTGGCTTGACAAAAATAATTTGACAATTAACTTACAAAAGACTAACTTAATTCACTTCCACCAACGCACATCTTTAAAAAATATTACTGTAAAATACAATAACCAAAACATCCATCAAATACATATTGCTAAATTCTTAGGCATATATATCGACAGCCAACTAAATTGGCAACCTCAAGCAGAGGACGTGTGTAAGCGACTAAATACATCCGCATATGTCCTTTCGAACTTGTCCAGGAAACAACTTTCCACACATTCAAACTACTGTACTAGCCTACCACGGTCTGGTTGCATCAGTTCTAAGATTTGGAATAATATTCTGGGGCAATTGTAGTTCAAGAGAACAGGTATTTAAAGCTCGAAAACGCTGTATCAGAGCGATATGCAATTCAAAGACCACAGACAGCTGTAAACCAATGTCTAAGTCCTTTAGAATACTAACCTTTCCATCCTTATATATATTAGAAATAGCCATATTTGTAAAAACCAATAAACACCTTTTCACTCCTGTGGTAGAAACTAGAAAAGGACCTGTAAGAAACCAATACAGAAACCTTCTACGTGTTGGTTCCTATAGAACGGCGTTACTAAGGAAAAGTGTTATCTGCATGGGTCCCATTATATATAACAAATTGCCTGATGACTTAAAAAATGATGTAATGGGAAATTTCAAAAATAAATTAAAAGCATTGCTTATGGACAAATGTTACTACACAATCAATGTTTTTTTAATAGATACAAATTTGTAATCATAATTTATAATTCCTATGACTTGTAATTTGGTAATTCTGAAGCATTGACATACACTATATTGATGATTAGTTTGTGGACCGGACCATCTTATATATAAAATTCTCGTGTCACAATGTTCGTTCCCGTACTCCTCCGAAACGGCTTCACTGATTCTCATGAAATTTTGTGTGCACATCGGGTAGGTCTGAGAATCGGCCAACATCTATTTTTCATACCCCTAAATGGTAAGGGTGACCCATCCCTAATTTTTTTTGTTTTGCAATACAACGTTTGCTAGTTGACATCTAAAATATTAATTGTTCGTTTTTTTTTTCTTTGTACTTATCCATTCCAGATTTAATTTAATTTGTATCGGCCCTAATTATATAGATTTTTGCATGCTTAATTATAAGGCAGAATGTACACGGTTCAATGAAAACTATTTCATCTGTAATTTGATGTACCTACATTCATAGCAAATAAATTTTGATTCAATTTGATTTTCTTTCTAAGTTGCGATTCTTAGGATATATAGCAAGATACGTAAAAATAAAGTTGTAAAATGCTCGTCAGTGCGTTTTAGTTCAATAACGAGTAAAAGAATATAAGTACATTGTCGTCAATAGTAGCTAGTTAAGAGTGCGAGTGGTCGGTTTATTCGGGCTTTTACTACGTTCTCTGTAAATCAATAGCCTTATTTATAGCTTTGACATTTTTTTGTTTATTGCACTTATTGTAAGTACTAGGTATTTTAGTAGTTCTAAAAAACGAATATTGAAAATAAGTTTAATTTTTAAATTGATTAGTACGGCAGATAAAGGGCTCCTGCGCAGCATGACTGCACATTTTTTATTCTTTATTATTTTGCATAAATACTAGCCGTTGAAAATTATTAAGCGCATTTGAGAATAGTTTTAATCATTAGATAAATGCTATAGCTATCTTAATGATTATGAAGCACATTGGGAGATGCTTTGGTTCTGTAATGGGGTGCAATAGGCTGATTGATTGATTTAGGATGCTAATTTACTAAAAAAACATTCGCATCGGTGGCCCCCGCCCCCACCTAATAGCAGGTAGCTATATGATAATAGTAGCCAATACCTCGAAAGCTATTTACCTGCATAATTTAGGTAGGTCATATCCTTAAACTTTATGAAAAGTAATTTATTAATTTTTAAACAAACACGAAACATATACAGGCTGTAAGGGACGGTGTAACGAATACTACTAATCATTCTCAGTCCAAAATCATTGGAATTTTCTGCCGGAAAATCAAACATTTTATGCAATATTTTATAAGTTATAAGAGTTCGGCGTTTTGATTAATTCTAACTAATAACAATTAATGTTCTGTTTGCTCATTATGATATCATTTTTAACCAAAAATGGCAAATTAAAAAAAAGAAAAGAATTTTCCGGCAGAAAATTCCAATGACTCTACTCAAAATAATGGTCGGAATACACTCTTTCAGTATTCGTTACATCGTCTCTGACAGCCTGATATTTGTTAGACATTTCTTTTTTTTTATTTTCAGAATACATAACTTTGAATTAGCTCTGAGTTTTGAAGGTTTGTTGAAAGTCGGACTGAAGTGATGACGCGACTGTCCTTTAAGTGATAGCGCGAATGTCAATACCTTTAGTTGCATGTTTTAAGAAATTGTGTCGGCACACAATAACACACACTGCACTAAATAACATCAAGAGAAATAAACCACAAACCTTCATCACAAGTATAGTGGTAACTTTTAAAGTCAAACATTAGAATATAAATATAAAATGTGATACGATGTTTAGTTATCTAAAAGTACAAAATAAAACACGTTAAAGCTTTTGCTTCTTATTCAGGAAGGCATACTGACAGGACTTATCGTTTTTTTTTTAAATTAGGAAGGAATTTTTACATAAAAAATCTAATGTGTCATTAAATGTTGTTTAATGAATAATTTAATGTTTCTGTTCAATGTTCTAATATAATATTAAGGAAATTGCACACAGTGCAGTTGGTTTCATAGAAATGTTAATACGAATATATTTCGGTGGTATTTAGTAGTAAGTATTTTTTTTTATTAATATCCAGTTCAACACATCAATTGTAAATTTTGTTCAAATTGTTATCAAGTTTATCTCTCTTAGACAGCATTAATCGTTAGTGTTATACTTTTAATGATCAAACTAACTCCTAAACCCTACTTAAGTGGATTATGAATCTGTTTCTGAAATACTTGGCAGGTATCCGATTTTTTCTTTCAAGGTATTAGTTATTTATCTAGATAATTAATATTTACAAAGTAGGTACATTTATTTTAACAGACAGAAATATATTACTACTCTGCGATACTATCCGACATTCACGGCTTGTCCTTTGTGACGTCGATTATAAATCAATAAGTATATGTAGGTACTTATATAAAAAATTAAAAGGATTTCTCTCGAAGTTTAATTAAATAAAACTACCTGATGTTATATATGTTAAGTTAACAACGCAACACCTAGTAGAGAAACTAGTTTTTCTTAATATTGCTCAGTGTTAGGTCGAGATCCAGAACTATCAGAGAAACAAAAAAGGCTGGTAATATTTGTAATATTATCTCTTTTATTGGAAGTAACAGTAGATAAAAATGGCATGTATTTATTTACATGCAAGACATGGCACATTTTTCTAAACATTTTTGGTATATATAGCTGCATGCCACAGTATTCATTATCAAACTAAACTGATAATACCTACTATTCAACTGTCTTTTATTAGACATAATTTTATTTTAGGATATAACATGTAATTTACGAATGCTTAAATCGCCTAAAATAATAAAAAGTATACAATGAAACTTCTGTTGTATGTTTATCATGTACATAAGGAATAAGTACCTATTTAAAAAACTTTGAAAGCAGCTGTACAGCCACTTTATACGGATTTAAAATTACAAAATAAGTAGTAGTAGTAAGTAGATACCTATATCTGAATTGAAACCATAGGTAATTCATCGAAACATTTTTATTCTTCATTTTATTATTAGTCAAAAAGAACAACTTTCTCCCATAATTAATGTCCACAGTAAAAATTTTACGGCAACTAATAATTTTAAGAAAAAATGTTCCAATGGCTATAGTTCTATCTTTTAGCTTGCAATTTAATAAATTGTACCACGTGAGTAGCAAAGCTTAGCATTCGTAAATTGCAAAAGTAATACTTTAATCTTATTAACTACTTAATTAACTATCACAATCATTTCATTTTTCTTTACTTAAATCTTTGTCCTAACATTTACACATATCTTTACACATTAATCAATCATAGAAATATGGAATATCATAAGCGTCTTTTTCGTTTTACTAATAAAGTTAAGTACTTAACATACAGGAATTATCATGTTTGTCCATTTGTTGTCCACTCTCCTTCCATTCTCCATACTGAAAATGCGTAACTTAATTTATCTTGAGCGAGATATTTACCGTGTTCACTTCCCGAGTCACTATTACTATCGCTATTTCCCGCCGAATCACCATTTGATAGAATTTGATACAAAAACTCAATGTACTGCGTCGCAAGCTGGAGTGTTTGTATCTTGGACAGCTTGTCACTCGGCAACGAGGGAATGATCTGCCGTAAACTTGCGAATGCCTCGTTTAGGCTTTGGGTACGCTGGCGTTCCCTCACATTAGCCATCACTCGTTGAATCTGCATCTCTTCAAACGATTGTGTTTTCTTCCTCGATACCTTCGATCGTTTTGATCGTGATCTTCTTTGTTCCTCGGTCTCGTCTCTCCTCTCCTCGACTCTGTATCCAACTTCAGTCATTTTTGGCATTTCACTTGAATCATAGAAGTTGGATACTCTATCTTGTGAATTGGAATCGTCGAAGTAATAGTTTCTATGTACTGGTCTCTGCCGGTGGTCCAGAAATTGGGGTTCATAAGTAGGATACGTTGCTTGCTGGTATTCTCGTTCCTCGGCGTCGTATACGACATTTGAAGGCCAATGATGCATTGTGGGTCGCTCTGAGCCGTTGCTCAGATCCATCAAGTTTGTGGGTGAGGAAGGCGCGAAAGCCGGCGCGTCTGAGTGTCGTTCCACCTCGACTGGCACGTAACCGTAGTATTGTTCGTCGTCTTCCGGATATTCGATATCTTCCTCGAGTTTAATTGGTACTGGGTCTAATCTGTTTTCACTAGGGGCGAAATTCATCTTGTTCTGGTAAATACTAAAAAGCGCGCGTGCCTGGAAACGTGCGCGCGCGATAAGCGCAGTCGGACTGCTGTTAGAATTTAAACTGAACCCTGCGCCGGAGACGTGTCCCGCCCCTACCCGTCCCTTCATTGACAAGATACAAAAAAAAACAAACCATCTCCACTACGGTGCGCCTCCCAGCGCGCCGCCTCCTACTCGCACTATGCGTTAGACAGAGACGGCGATAAACAGGTCGTTTTGATCGCTTACTGTTTATCTTGTCCATCATCTCTGAACTGTATTTACTGTATATAGCTATATAGTTGTTGGCGTTCGGTCGCCATAACCGATCGCATCGGTGATCATGCATCCTGTGAGAGTTTCAGCCGACTACTGTGTCGTGCTAATGGAAAGTTATTGGATCGTGTCACCATAAATCATATTAAACACGTGACATTTAATTTTAACCCTTAGTATAAAATTTTCATTTATAAAATTTTGTTAGAATATAAATACCTACATTACATTACCATTAATTTTGCGGCAACATTTTTTTAAAACTGAGATTCATTGTTTGCTTCTTCATTTTACCTATAACTTGATATTTGGCGCCACCCTTCCTTAAATTTTTTTGTATGACGCGTCGCCGAGTCGGCACTAAAAATAACTGTGACGCAATCGCCCCTGGATCGATCCCACAGCCAGACCCGTCAAGGCGATGGCTTCGACGCTATATCATAAATATTTAATTTATTTATCTCATACTTACACTAACAAAGATAGGTATGAGGAGGGTGCCTGCGTAGTGTCAGCTTTGAACCGAGGCTGACATTGTAGGTAGTTATTGGTCACTGTCATATAGTGGTTTTTAAAAATCAGTATCAAAAAACTTAATTTATTGTCCTTGGGAATAAACACTAGGCACTGTATTTCTTCGTTCAGTGAGAAGCTTTAAACTTGCCATAGCTAAATCAGCTAAATGTAAAGTTTAGATAAATAATTCTCATCAGTTGTAATTTCAGAAAGCTTATACTTATTATACAGATAGTTTTTCTTTTGCCAAGGTATAACTATTATAACACCTAAATTAAAAGTTAGTAAAGTAAATAAAGTTTGTGTTGGTTATCCAAAAAAACGTTTACCCTTTAAATACAACCGATCTTGGCGGTAGCTAAATCTCAGCGTAGATCTCACGTGAGCATAAAGTTGAGCTAACGGCCAATTTTAGATAGAGATAGATTGATGTATATAATATAACTAGCTGACCCGCGCAACTTCGTCTGCGTCTCTCAATAGTAATAAATTTTCTCCGTTTTTGAAATATTATTCATTGGAGCTCCGCTCCTATTGGTCTTAGCGTGATGATATATAGCCTATAGCCTTCCTCGATAAATGGGCTGTCTAACACTGAAAGAATTTTTCAAATCGTACCAGTAGTTCCTGAGATTAGCGCGTTCAAACAAACAAACAAACAAACTCTTCACCTTTATAATATTAGTATAGATATATAGTACTAGCTGACCCGCGCAACTTCGTCTGCGTCTTTCAATAGTAATAAATTTTCTCCGTTTTTGAAACATTCTTCATTGGTGCTCCGCTCCTATTGGTCTTAGCGTGATGATATATAGCCTATAGCCTTCCTCGATAAATGAGCTATCTAACACTGAAAGAATTTTTCAAATCGGACCAGTAGTTCCTGAGATTAGCGCGTTCAAACAAACAAACAAACAAACAAACTCTTCAGCTTTATAATATTAGTATAGATGGAGTAGTAATAACCAACTAATAGCCTAACGTGAAAAAAATGTATTTCCTATTTTTATCTTTCTAATGTATATTAATATACTAATATATAAAATATACTAACTTAACAAAAGACTGAATGGCACAAACAATGTTCTTTCTGACCAAAAGCTTGCTTAGGTAAGTAGTAGTACCTATAAGTTTATGCTTTTTGGAAAGTTATTAGCGCTTCTGTTTCTTAACATGATAGATTTTGTCTCTGAAGTTTAGATTTACCTTCTTACGACTCTCATCATCATTATCTAACAAAGTTTCATTAAAGTACATAAATACTTCATTTATAGCCGTTTTATTTTACTAATTTATTTTTAAATTAATTAATAAAGATGCTACAAATCCAAAAACTTTTTTTTAGATTCTTCCCATTGCAAAATAAGTTAATCGCGTAAGTCTGCGTCCGATCGTAAATTGTCTGGTTGTTGTACCTATGGATCAAGCTTTAGGCTAGATCAGATACCTACTTAATTGACTTATCATATACTTAGGTATTATGTGTTTGATTGACTAAATAGGCGGGTATAAATATATTTTATAGCATGTGTTGTATGTGTGTATGTGTAGTGGGGCAAAAGTCTTGAGCAATCTACAGTTAATAGATTAATAGATTCAATAATAGAAAATAACATTTCAAAAGGTTTCTGCTGAATGGTATTATCGAGGTTGTGCAAGAATACGTCTATTTTGGCCAAACTATCCAACTCGGCCGTTGGATAGTTTGGTTTTCCTACATATATGCCGCCCAGCCCAGGCGAATTCGCCTGGGATTGGGCGCCATACCTTAACCTTCGTCATGCCTTCGAGTCGCCGATCCCCAATCGCTAAAAACCAAGGCGTTTAACCACTGCGTCCTACCCGTAACGACATATCGAGCCTTTGAACATACCAATATATTTTTAAATACATACATATCATAGATAACTTACACCCAGACACAGAACAAAATCACCGTGCTCATCACACAATTATTTGTCCTGGATGGAAATCAAACCCACGACCTCCGGCTCAGCAGTCAAGGTCACTAACCAACCTATACCAACAGGCTTATAAATATAATTTATAAGTACATATTATTATAATTATATAGTCAGCAACGTAGAAATCAATGCAATATAAAATTATTTATACGAATTGATTACAATATTTTATTTGTTGACAAGCAAATCGACAACATTTTTAAATAAAGAAAATTGTCTATAAGTTATCTTGACATTTTGATTTAAAATTTACCGTTGAAGGATAAAATACGTGTAGGTACATACAAAATGTCAAGCATTGACTAAAATATTTTAGGAATCGTTACCACACCGATGACGTACCTACCCGACAAAATATTAATAGCTCCATTATCCAAACTTCTATATATAACTAGTTATTACAGAGATAAATGCTTTCTACACAGATGACTAAATATAGGAGGCCGTGAATATAAAAAAGTTGTGACATGAAAATTTAACCAACTTATTTACTGACTGTTACAAAAAAGTCTATTTTAGGGTATGTATATAAGTTGACCTTTTCTTAAGAATATGCATTCTCAGTTCTTACGTAATGTTCATTTTAGATTAAAGAATGGTTCTTGTGTATCAATAAAATTAAGTACTTTTACCCATTCCTATTCATTATCATCCATTGCGGCTAATTTTACTTTGGCAACAAAAACCGCGCAGGATTAATTTGTACTTATCAAAATTACGAAGCTGTACCAGAAATCGTAATAATGGATGTTCGTATAAGTTATAACTAAGTATACATACCTATGTATTAATTTTCACATCACATCAACAGCCTAAAATAGTCCACTGCTGGACAGAAGCCTCTCCTTAGAAAGGAGGTTTTGGCCTACTATGGTATTAATTTTACATCATAGTATATACTTCATCACATCATCATCACATCAACAGCCTTTAGTAGTCCACTGCTGGACATAGCCCTCTCCTTAGGAAGGAGGTTTCGGCCTACTATACCACGCTGGCCAGACGTGTTGGTATAGGGTTTCTTTCAAGTTTTCCTTCCCATTGTATATACTTAAACCATATTTATTTGAATCGCTCGTGAACTGGCTTTTTAGAACTCATTGGCATTTGGTTTAGGTAGGTACGTTCGTAATAACTGAGTTGGTGAGTTCTGGTCCTGTCAGACAGACAAAACTGATTACTAGTCATTAATAAATCAAGTTAGCTATTAATTAACAAGTTAAGCTAATTTTTGTCAAAAACGTTGTTTTTGGATTTTTGCCTTCACTTACTTGATTTTGACGCGTAATAACAAAATTGACCAATCGGATCATCGCTAGCAGAACGATATGCGTTATATGCGCATGTCATTTATAATGTGTTGATTGACAAATCCACTTTGTTGCTATCTTTATCAAGGCTCCCTTAGAATTCACTAATTGTTAATAAACGCTTGAGGCAGCTGATTAGGCTTTATAAAAAGTCTACCGTGTTCTAAAAGAAATTTATTAAAACATTTTTAAAAGACCCTAGTATTTTGATAAAACACGGTCTATGGACCCACGGTTGGAACGCAGTTCCTTTTGCTTTTTGGTAAACGTTTGCTATACAGTCATTATAATTTATATCATAAGTGTTAAATTTATTTATGATAAAATATCAAGAAGTGTCGACAAAAGTTCTTGTTACACATTTTTCGGTCTCGCTCCCATCCGATCAGAGCGTGTAACGCGCGATAAGGAAATTCGTCTAAAAAAACATAATAAAATGCTTACAATTCGTTTTATGCTGACTGAAAAAGAAGAAAATAACTTATATAGAATATAATATAATATAGAAATAACCGTGTGCATTACCGTAACAAAAATTTCTTCTTTAGAGAGGTGAGAGAATAATAGCTAATTAGTTTGTCATGAAGAGCAGTTTGTTCACCAATAGCAAAATTTGTTTGAGTTGCAGTTTTAAAGTTATTCGGGAAAATCAGATTTTGCTGCAGTAGTGTTTGAAACGTTACCATGAATTTTTTTTTTCATGAAATTATTCAACCCGGAACCAGTATATAATAATGATAACTTTTGTTGCACATTAAATGTTTCTGAATAGCAAAAGTTATTAAGGATTTTGCTACGGTAACGGTTTGGGATTGCCCAGATCTCGAAAAGGGCTCAACGCAGAAGTTAAAGAAAAAACAAAAATAGACCTTAATTTGTTTAAATCTTGCCTAAACATTAGTTTTCGATTTGTTTGATGGACACCAATGCA